GGAGGAGGAGGAATACAACCAGCAGGCCTTCTTGGATGTACTCGTCTGTCGCAAAGATTGTGGTGGCCTAAAAACCAAAGTGTTAAAGAAAGCGACACATACGACGCAAATACTGAACTTCAATAACAAACACCGATCAATCACAAACGCAGTTGCGTAAGGACGCTATACCGGCGCGTTGAGACGCACTGCAGTGAAATGAGAGACAAGGTTGCTGAATTACAATATCTTCGACGGGTAATGAGAGCAAATAGTTACCCACGCAACTTTCTCAACCACTGCATACGAAAAGGACACCAGAGACCAAATCCAACCGGCCTCAAATTTTGGCGGGCTCTTCCGTACGTGAAGAACGTCTCGGAAGCCGTCAGTCGTCTTCTTACTCTACTTGGAGGTGGGGTTACACACAGGCCGGAAGCAACCATTAGACGCCAAGTCATGAGGCCAAAAGACCCGCTGCCACGGCAGGAAACGTCTGGAGTCGTTTACCGGATCTGATGTAGTTGCGGACAAAGCAACTATGTCGGAAAAACTGGGAGATTACTCCGTACGCGAATTGCCGAGAACGCAGCAGCAGTGAGGCGGGGAGACGCTCGCTCTCAGGTGGCGGCACACTCGACGGGACCCGGCCATATTTTCAAATTTCAAGTGGCCGAAATCCTCGCAAGGGATGACAAACGCGTGAACCGCCAGCTGCTCGAGTCATGGTTCTCAGGCCCGCAATCCATCAGCAAGCACAATGACCTCCCGGCACCATATTCCGTGCTGAGATTTTCCCTGGGTAGGAGAACCAGTCACGTGGGGAGGGCGCGGGCGAGCAATTATCACAGTGACAGTGAGCCAATTTGCCGAGCAATCGTCACACCAGCATCCAGCACGGATGACGAAATCACGGCAGGTAACGACTCGGACTCGGACTGACAGGCCACCACCGTATCGATTACGACCCCAGCGGTGATTGCGAGAACTGTTAATTGCTGTGCGCATACGGTCCCACGGTGGCCACGTGCTATAAATACTGCACGCCTTGTGCCACCATCACTTTTATCTGCAAATGTCTCTGATGATGGATTCGGGTGAAGATCCGAAACGTCAGGCTAATAAAGTTCTTGTCCCAGCGATCGCATCTTCGTCTTCTGAAGTGTTATAAATATTACACCCGCTGCACATGCCTAACCTGCTTACGATGTCCCAGCCCATTCAGACACCACATGGGGCTAATTGGACATGTGTGTATCCATGACAGCCGAGTTCACCTCACTGTCAGCGGCGGAAAACTACCTCCTACACTTGCATACTCTCCTACCACCACTATCGCCACCAATAGAATCACCACTCCGCTGGCTCACAAGCCACATTTCTATTCTATCCCTACTGCCAACGCACATTTGCGCATCGGTTCGGTCGGGTTCCTACGAACCCATCACACTGGGACTGTCGTACCACCGTCATGAACCTCAATAGGCACTCGTCGCACCCGCTTCATCTGCACGCAGTCAACATAGTCATTCGGTTATTTCACGGGCCTATACTTCCATATGCGCATACATGCAAATCCTCTATGAAACCGCACACTGGAACCCATAATCACACTTGACCTCGCCTGAAGAAACACACATATCTCCAGGACTACATACAAAACCCCTCAACGCCACGTAACAATCATGCCTCTTCCTGACAACAAGCATGTGTACCGTTTGGCTGTCGTCGTTATGGCCGATGCAACGCCTTGCGTAATTGTGGAGCATGTTCTATGATGTGTCATGGCAAATGAAGCGTGCGTGGCACATGCAGACGGGCTGTCCAGCTACATCATTCATTGAGTCCAATCCCGCTACTAGGTGGCAGACAGGTAGGGATCGGATGAAGGCCCCCAAACATCTGTGGCATACAAAGAATACCTACTATACTTATTTAAATGGGTTTTAGCCCGACATGATTATTTCAGTTTGGTATTCCATCGTACACGGTTGGTTTGTCTGATGTAAACGGTCTGGTGCATTATCTACAGTGAACCCAGCTCAGAGCGTTTAGAAGCGATCGTTGTAGACACTTAGTGCATATTTTTTAGGTTGCTATATGTCAATGAACTAAAACTTTTCCAACCGGAAAACGAATTTATCATTTATCTATACTTATTTTGCCGTTCTTCTATGCATGCGTAGGTCCCGCCCATAAAACCCCTATTACCACCTTTCCCGTAAGACAGGCACCTTTGGCTGGTCGTGTGTGTGTTTGGGGTCCTTCATCCGATCGTTACTGGCAGACAGTCTTGAGCAGCCGACTGATGCATAGGAGAAGGAAGAGAGTGAGGTCAACACTGGGGAATCCATCCCACAGCACTTCGGCATATTGCTCACCATAGTAAATTGGACGCGCTTTAAAATCCTCAAGATACGCTAAGCCATAGCTTGAAGGGCTGTCAAGTAACGGGATAACTCCATCCTCGTGCACTGTACGAATGTGGGGTGATACTTTTTGTGGACACTCGGGACCGAGTGGCACGAGCAAGAGCGGTCACTTTCGGGGGTGAACTAACTCAGCAAGTCTACACTAGTGATTATTATTTCGTCCAACACAATTCTACGTATTCTATTTCCATATTCTCTTTATTTGTTGCGATCAGCCCACCCATAATTAGTTTTTCGGCCAGTTTATTGGCACTCTAGGGGCAAAATGCTGACATAATTCCAGCATGTCCATGCCAGTATTCAGGCATAAGGCAAGCATATTTATGCGACGTTTAGATCCTCCCGAAAGTCTCCCCAGCCCGTCGTGTGAAACGCACCAAGGATGCTGTGTAAATCACGCACACCATTCTTTTTGTGCCCACTCCCCCCACCACCTTTAGGAATAAGGGCGGTTTTATGAAAATGTTTTCTTTATTGACAAGTTAGTTTGAGAATTTAAAGGGCCCTTCCACCTGTCAGAGCCGATAAGGTAGTGCACTGCTGGCACCCTTCAAGGCCGTGCTCACCACACCGGCAAAATCTGCCATATTTTTGGTCTTTTCCGACGTTCCACATTTGGAAAACGCCCGAAGGAATGGTGCGGTTATGCAGACCAATGAAACCTTTCTTAGACCACCAATTACACGAGCAATGCACAGAAACTCCCTCTTCCTGTCTTCAGAGAAGCTGAACTTACCTATTGAATCAGTCAGTCAGTCAGTGTATTTGAGGGAAATAGGCTTACGCCTTTGAACTCCCTATTTGTACATAAAAAAATCGAGAAACAAGCAAAAATGTGAAGAAATTACAGCATTAAGTGAATGCATACATTGATTCACATATGCCACTAGTCACATGGCTAAAAAGTCACATAGTCCGCTTGTTGCTGCAGCATATATCTGTCAAGGCTACATTTAAATGTCTCCACAGATTGAGACATAACAACCATCTCGGGCAGGTTATTCCACGGTTCCACGACACGGTTGGAGAAGAAATATTTTCTCACATTCAGTCTACACTGTGACCGACGTAACTTGAAGGGATGTCCCCGGAGGTGAGTTGTAGTGGCGAGTTGGAAAAAGTCATCACGCCGAAGGGCACAATCAAAGCCGCGCACGATACGGAAAGTTTGTATCATGTCTCCGCGCAACTGCCTATAACTCAGAGGATAGAGATTAAGGTTAGTTAAGCGGATCTCGTATGGCAGTGCACTTTGACCTCTTATTAATTTTGTTGCTCGTCTCTGCACCCTTTCGAGCAGATCGTAATCCTGATGCGTCCACGGTCTCCAGGCCTGAATTGCATATTCGAGATGGGGCCTTATAAACGTGCCGAAGACTTTGGTGAAGCAGTCTTTATCGAAAACTACGAATGCCCGCTTGATGGCTTATAGCATTGAGGTTGCGGCCTTGGCCGCCTTACAGCATTGTGTAGAAGGCTTTAGGCTGTCTGCAACCCAAACTCCGAGATCTTTCTGAGTTTCTGCTTCTCGGAGTGGCATTCCGTTCAGATGGTATTGCCGCGTACTAGGGGTCTGATTTCCGAGGCGCAGAATGGTGCATTTGTTCAAATTGAAGGACAAGAGCCATCTGCAGGACCACTCGTCCAAGCGACAAAGATTTTCTTGGAAGTTGGTCTCATCGGCAGCATTCTGGATGACTTTCCAGATTTTTATGTCGTCCGCAAACATGGCACAATCACAGTCCAACCCATCTACGCAATCATTGATGAACAAGAGAAAGAGAGTTGGTCCGAGCACCGAGCCTTGTGGGACACCACTCTCTATGAATGTGCACCTTGATTGCTGTTGTTCTACGCAGACAATTTGGGAGCGGCCGACAAGGAAATTTTCGATCCATTTGAGAAGTTTGCCACCGATGCCCATTATTCTCAACTTGTGTAGGAGACGCTGGTGCGGAACACTGTCAAACGCCTTCCGGAAATCAATATAGGCAACATGCACGGTGTGTTTTGCGTCCAGTGCTCGTGTCCAACATTGCATTGTATATAGCAAGTTCGTTACACATGATCTCCCCCTACAGAAAACATATTGTGCATTGGACAAGAGGTTGTGGGTTTCCAAGTAAGCCATCAACTCCTTTTTGATGGTTTTCTCCATCACTTTGCAGCAGATTGATGTCAGACTGACGGGTCTGTAGTTTGCCGCCAGGGCACGACTACCGCT